AAGAAGGGAGAAAGCATTAAGGACATCAGATGGAATAGCAGCATTGTGAAACTTGACTAAAGATCACATTTTCAATGTTGTAAACTATTTAAAGGTAAAATTTTCTAGCCTCTGAAAATGGCTAAAACGCATGGCTAAGGCTCCTGCTGGTCCAGAAGAACATTTCAATGCCCCGCCCCCCTTTTTCCTTTTAAAAAATAGGGGATGTGGGTTTGTAAAAAGAAAAAGAATATATATATAGGATTCTCCTTTTTATGGGACCTAAAGCAGGGGTCAGCAAGCTCTTTCCGCAAAGGGCCGGACTGAACACGAGTTTTCCGGCGCTGCACGGACTCTACCGCAGCCACTCAGCCCTGCGGCTGCAAACTGCTGGGGGGCGTAGGGGAAAGTGAGGCCCAGGTGAGCACCCCGACCTGCAGAAACGAGGGGTCGTCCATCCCTGTCACACCCGTCCTGCTTGTCAGATCAGGGCCTCAAAAGCACTCAGCTGCCAAGAGAGGCAGCTACAATCGGAGCCCTCCGCCCGCTGGCTGCACGCATGGTTCGCACGGGCTGTCTGCCCACTTCTGCCCCAGCCTCTCAGGTTAAACGCACAGTCCTCGCAGGCCGGGCCAAGGCCCCGGGGATCTGCAGCTCTGCCGCCCCCGTCAAAAACAGCACTTCTCCAGGATTCCCTCTTCCTGCACGGCGTCCCCCCTTCCCCGATCCAGGAGCAGCTGCCTAGAGAGGGGCTTGTGGTCCTTGGATGGACCGTCCACCTCACCTGGCCTCTGCACTCGTGTGCTTCCCGGGGCCCCCCGGGGCCCCCCGGGACAGCATGGCCGTTCACAGGACCGAGGCCCTGGTCCTCCACAGCAGCCCAGACCTCCTCCCTAAGTTCTCAGTGCGAGCAAGGACACCCCCTCCCCCAGGCACCGCGACTTCACACGCCGGAACTCCAGCATCCTCTCCAGGTGTACCCTTAAGCTGCTCAAGAGAAAGCCCTTAACCCAGCTGCTCCGGAGACCCCTTCCTGGAGCTTTCCACTTCCTGAAGAATCATTTCTTGCGGACCCACCCAAGCCTCTCTTGTCCTGCTGTGACAGATTTGCCGGTGGTCATCGTGGTCATGAGCACCCGGGGCTGGGAGATGCTTATTTAGCAAAACACAAAGCTTCCTCCTTCCCAGTACTGCTCAGAGCACACAACCCATATTGGCGGGTGGATTCCCAGCAGCAACTACAGCTGCCCCGCTTTGATAGAGGAGGAAAACGCGGGGAGAGGCGACACAGCCCCGCAATCACACATGTGGTCAGCGGCTGTCGTAGGCAGAATGCCTGCCCCACCCCCACCAAGACGTCTTCAGGCCTGGCGCCCGTGAACACACCGTATTAAATGTACTAATCCAAACGGCGCACCGGCCGACCCTAAATGAGGAGACGCCCCTGGATGACCAGGACAAGCCCAGGGTAATCACAGGGTCCTCCGAATATGGGAGGGGGCATGACAGCCAGGGTTCGAGGGACGTGAGGAGAGAAGGGCCCCGGCAGACGTGCCGGCTCGAAGACGGAGGAGGAAGAAGCCGTGGGTGCAGGCGGGCTCCGAGGGCAGGAAGGCAGGGAAGAGAGTCCTTCCTGGAGCCTCGGAGAGGAACAGTCCTCCTGATGCATGGATCCTAACCAGTGAGACCTGCTGGGGACGCACCTGCTCTTCTAAGCCACTAAGTCTGTGGTCATTTGTTACAACAGCAGCAGGAAACCAAAAGTGATACTGGGAGTGGGATGCCGCTGTAACGAACGTAGAAGTGGTTTTGGAATTGGGCAATCACGGAGCCTGGGAGAACTTGGGAATGTGGTGGGAAGGGCCTAGATCGCCTTGGACGTGTGTGCTCCGTCATGTCTGACTCTCTGCGACCCCATGGACTGTAGCCCGCCGGGCTCCCCTGTCATGAGATTCTCCAGGCAAGAATGCTGGAGTGGGTTGCCATTCCTGCTCCAGGGGATCTTCCCGACCCAGGGATCGAACCAAGTCTCCTATGAATCCTGCGCTGGCAGACGGGTTCTTTACCGCCAGAGCCACCTGCGAAGGCTACCTTTGAATGAACAGTTAGAAATACAGATGCTAACCACTTGGCCAGTGCTCAGAAGGAAGTCGGAACACGGAGGAGAAAAGCCAGTGGTCTTAGGGAACCCTGGTCTGCACGAACAGACAACAGGCAGGCCCTGGATGTCAAGGGCACTGCAGGGCCTCCCAGGTGGAAACCGGGGTGTGTCACTAGAAGCTGGAGCAAAGCGGATTTGTGCAGAAAAGCTCTTCAGATGCATTCAAACAGGAGTCAGCTATCACCCACCCCGAGGCCTGGGGAAGGAGGAAGGAGAGCTAAACGAGGGAGCACAGGACCCTGCTCCGACGGGGTCTGCCCTGGGGTCTGGCGGGGTCTGCCCTGGGGTCTGGCGGGGTCTGCCCTGGGGTCTGGTGGGGTCTGCCCTGGGGTCTGNGCCAATGCAGCACACATGAGAGACATGGGTTTGATCCCTATGTCAGGGAAGATCCCCTGGAGGAGGGCATGCCCTCGAGAGGAGGGCATCAGTCCAGTTTTCTTGCCTGAAGAATCCCACAGACAGAGAAGCCTGGTGGGCTACAGTCCACAGGATTGTAAAGAGTCAGACACAACTGAAGCGACTTAGCATACGTAGGTCGCCAAAGGACCATAGGATAGATCAGCTGAGCTCTATTTTAGGATGAAAAGCAGCATTTATCCTAATGATACAACAGAAATATTTACCAAATACGAACTTCCCCGGTGGCTCAGATGGTAAAGTGTCTGCCTGCAGTGCGGGAGACCCGGGTTCGATCCCTGGGTTGGGAAGATCCCCTGGAGAAGGAAATGGCAACCCACTCCAGTACTCTTGCCTGGAAAATTCCATGGACGGAGGAGCCTGATAGGCTACCATCCTTGGGGTCACAAAGAGTCATACACGACTGAGCAACTTCACTTTTTCACTTTCCCTAAAAGTTCAACTTTTGCATTTCCAACAAGGATTATCTAAAAGGCAAAAAGTCATACGTGCCTTCTCCCTCCAAGTCTCCCTAACCCCACAGGCACAGAGGTGACCTGTGTGACCGCTGACTCCCAGCTCTGAGCGCCCTGAACACGTGTACACTGGAGGTCAGAGATGTGCCCACAGATCCCGGCATTCCACTGCCCCGGGGGCCCGGCTGAGGTCACACTTGGGGTTCCGGGAAGAAGGTGGGTTTCCCAGGCAGCCAGGAAATGAGTCGCTGCCCCCGGAGCCCAACCAGACACCGAGGACATCTCATCAGACTTATTACAAAATCCTCTGACGGTAAAGATTCCGGCTGCAACACGTCCACAGCACTGAAGAAGGAAGTGGCTGATCAACAGTCCCTCTTCGAGCGACTGCGAAGATGCCTGCTCTGACACCAAATGGTCAGCTCCTGTTCCAGAAACACCGCGCATGTGGTAGAAGCTTCCAATGGCGGTCACAGCAGGGTTCTGGGATTGGGTCCCCCAGCACCAATCCTGGACTATCCTTGGGTAAAACCAAGGGCACAGTGAGGTCCAGTCAGCCAACCAAAGGGGCCTCGGGACCAGCTTCGTACAGAACACGCAGATGAGTTATGTTAACTTGGTCTGATTTCTACAGCCCTGGTTCCATCGCTACCAAATGCTTAGCGGTGGAGAGTCGGCTAAGGAAAGGATCTCAGAGGAACTTCACTCTGCAGCCTGGAGGCAGAGAACAGAGCAAGGGAGGGACACTTATACCTGGGAGACTGCATTTGGCTTGTTTGCAAATAAATTAGTAAAGATGTTAACAACCCTAACAACAAAAAGGACAGCCAAGAGAAAGCAAGAGGGAGGGAGGAGGGGTAGACGTTGGAAAGCAGCCATCATTAATTCAGTTTTAAATAGAGGATGAGTTACATTCTTGCTTATTCAGCAGACTGGTGCGCCCAAGTTGGCAACTTTTAAATTCCGCAGGAACTTCCAGTGTAAATGTCACTTCTTAAATGCAGATATTTAAAAAGTCAGACCTTGAAGTCTCAGGCTTTAAAAAGTCAAGCCCAATGAAAACGCACCATACTAATTTACAGCTTACTTACTTATGGGATTTTTATTCTTTTTCACGGGGAAGAAAATGTATTCTATTGTAACACTCTCATGTCAGTGTAATTACGCAGAGTTAACGAACTGAAAGGTTGAATCAAGATCCTCTGATGTATTATACTTTTGAAAAGACACAAATATACTACACATACTTAAAATAATCATTGTTGTTGTTCAGTCGCTAAGTCATCTCTGACTCTTTGTGACCCAATAGACTGCAGCACACCAGGCTCCTCTGTCCTCCACTATCTCCTGGAATTTACGCAAACAAATGGCTATCTTCAAAATGCTTCTACAGAAAATCACTTCTAAGCCCCATAACATGCATGAGCCTTGACGATGGCTACGATAAGTGGAAAATGCAGACATGTCTGGCACTGAGGGAGGGAATCTAAGATCTGCTTCCCACCTAAGCCCTCAGGGAAGGTTCAGGGCCTCTGCTTTCTCTTTTGTCGGGAGAGGCAGTTTATACTAGCTCCCCTCACCCCTCAGGGTTGCTGTGGACAGCGGCTGAGACCCTGTTGGTGGGAGGGCTTCAGTGCCTCCAGTTACCAGCAGCTGGCTGGGCTGGGAGCTCCTCACGCAGGCACCAGCGGGTTCTCTCTTTGGGGCTCAGGGAGCTTTCCTGGAATGTTGCTAAGATGCACCCGGTGTCTGAATCCTCAGCTTTCCCACCAGCAGAGGAGTCAAGTAGGAACAGAGAGGGGCCAAGGGTGGCCGCACACCGTGAGAAGGGGCCTGATACAGAAGGCGGGGTCACCTGCGGAGCAGGAGAGGGACCCAGCGTGGGGCCGCAGACGCCTGCCCTGCGGGCCCCTGCTCCAGGAGACCCTACCCTGGGGAACCCCTGCCTGGGGGACGCGTCTCTCCAGCTGGAAGACCCCCGCCCTCACCTGCAGTGTCCCAGATGGAGATGTTGTAGGAGCGCCACTGCTTCAGGTAGAAGGCGCCGCCCACCGTGCTGACCGTGTCCGGGAAGCGCCGCTCCATGTACCTCTGGAGCAACGACGTCTTGCCCACGTTCATGTCCCCCAAAAGCACGATCTTCCCGTCAGGCTTCCTCATCTTCCCGTAGGGGGCACCCCTCCGCTCCCCCACGCTCTCCTGGCCCGTGCGCCCGGGGCGCGGCTGGAGCCGCCGGACGTCCCGAGGCTGCTCCGACCCGGGACTGGCGGGGAGGCGGATTCGCGGGGACCCTCCCTTCCGGACGCCTGGGAACGCGGGAGAGAAAGCGCGGCTCGGCGCTGGGCTGGAGCTGGGAACCAGCCCGACGCCCACCTCAGTGTCCCGGCAGAGGCGGCAAGTCCCGGGTCCAGGGCGGTCGGCCCCGCCCCAGCCGCCCACGCCCCGAGATGGCCACGCCCCCCGATCGCCACACCCAGGGTATGGCCCCGCCCCCAGACAGCCACGACCAAGATACGGCCCCGCCCCCGACTGCCCACTCCCCGGGCTGGCCCCGCCCCTGACCGCCCACTATCCGGGATGGCCCCGCCCCCAGACAGCCACGACCCAGGTCTGGCCCCGCCCCGACCGCCCACTCCCCGGGCTGGCCCCGCCCCTGACCGCCCACTATCCGGGATGGCCCCGCCCCCAGACAGCCACGACCCAGGTCTGGCCCCGCCCCGACCGCCCACTCCCCGGGCTGGCCCCGCCCCTGACCGCCCACTATCCGGGATGGCCCCGCCCCCAGACAGCCACGACCCAGGTCTGGCCCCGCCCCGACCGCCCACTCCCCGGGCTGGCNTGTTGGAGAAGACTCTTGAGAGTCCCTTGGAATGCAAAGAGATACAACCAGTCCATCCTAAAGGAGATCAGTCCTGAATATTCATTGGAAGGACTGATGCTGGAGGTGAAACTCCAATACTTTGGCCACCTGATGCGAAGAACTGACTCATCTGAAAAGACCCTGATGCTGGGAAAGATTGAAGGCAGGAGAAGGGTACGACAGAGGATGAGATGGTTGGATGGCATCACCGACTCGATGGACGTAAGTTTGAGCAAGGTCCGGGAGTTGGTGATAGACAGGGAAGCCTGGCATGCTGCAGTCCATGGGGTCGTAAAGAGTCAGACACGACTGAGGGAGTGAACTGAACTGAATAGGGTGTACTGACGACCTTCCATGCAGCCTCCCTCTCTGGGAAGTGAGCTGCAGGAGGGAGGGACTGTGTTTCACTCACCACTCTGTGGGCTGAAGAGTATCAAGCACCTAGTAGCTGCTCAAGAAAGCTTAGGGTCAGGGCACAATGAGTGACTTCAGCATCCTGGTGAGGTCAGGAGGGGTTCCACGCAGACATCACTGCCAGCTGGGCTCCGCACCCAGGTCCTCTGGTGGTGTGTTTCCCTAGGATGGGGAGCATCTTGTAAGCTAATTCTGCATCCTGCCAGCTCATCGCACCTTTCCAGGCAACTCCCTCATCCAATAAACACGGGGTCAGGAGTCCCCCCTGGAATATGGGATTTTTGTTTATTTTTAATTGAGGATAACTTCTCCTGTACAACAGGTGAATAAGCCATCTGTGGAGTTGCTGAATCAGCCATAAGTGTCTGTGTGCCCCTCCCTCTTGAACCTCCCTCCAACCTGAGCCCCGTCCCATCCTTCTAGGTGGAGGCTGAGTCTTTTGTTTCCTTTCTCTGGCATGTTCCCAGTGTCTACAACTGGAAGCCAGTCCCACCTCAGCCAGTGTGTGTTTGAATAAATGCGTTGGTTTGCCAAATGCTGTCTCCATTTGAAACACTGATGTGTTTTGAGCCGTTTTTGAGGAGCAGGGATGGTTCCAGTGGCACAGTGGAGAAGGAATCTGCCTGCCAATGCAGGAGACCCAGGAGACCAGGGTTCAAACCCTGGGTTGGAAAGATCCCCTGGAGGAGGAAATGGCAACCTGCTCCAGTGAGAATCCCAGGGACAGAGGAGCCTGGTGGGCTACAGTCCAAGGGGTCGCGAAGAGTCAGACATGACTAAGCGCACACGCACACGCAAGCACACACACACATACAGCATATAGAATTCTGCCTGAAACATAGAATTCACTCAGAAAGTTTGCTAAAAATTTTTTTTTAACTCTCCAGCACTTTGAAAAGCTAAATTTAACCAGGAGAATGTCTCCATATCAAATTTCAACCACTCCTTTAAAAAAAAAATGCCTTAAAGACTGCCAGCTGCCTCTTTCCTCTTTGGGAAGCATGACTGAAGAAGAAGTTAAAAGGTTAAAAGTCTGTTTAAACTAGCTACTCTCCTGCCAAGTACAATGTTTGTTCTGCCTGCACTTAAACCACTGGCCTAACAGGGTAATTCTTTTTCCAATTGCTCAGATGAAGAGTGCCCAAGGCCCAGAAAACTAGGTAGCGCCTTTTTAATGAGATGCAATGTGAAGAGTTCTGGGACTATCCACCGTTACAGTAGAAGGAGTAATAGTGTGGTTGCTTCTGACAATTTGCAAAGTGTCTTGGGAGTTTATAGGTACTTTGTTGTGGAACAATTCTACCTTTTAAACTACTTTCCTCTTTTCTTAAACAAGCAAACAAAAAACCCCTGCCTATCTACGTGGTTTTGTTCAGTGGGTAGGAACTAAACTCTGAGCCCTGACCTAAGGCTAGAGCAGTGAGGAAGACAGCCAACAAAATAAGCAAGAAAAATACAGAGTGTCCTAGATGGTGATGAAATGTTTGGTGGAGAAAAACAGAGCAGGGGGAGAGGGAGCAAGGCCTGGGGTTGGATGCAGGGGGCACAGTTATCAACAGGATGTTTGCAGAGATGAAGCTTCTGGAGAATGCGGTTAGGGGTTAAACATGCATCTGGAATTACACATCGGGACATGCAGACAAGACCGGATTTGTGGACACCGGGGAAGGAGAGGGTGGGATGCACTGAGAGAGTAGGACGGACATGCATGCGTCATCGCGTGTGAACCAGATGGCCAGCGGGAGGCCGCACAGTGCACGGGCCTCAGCCTGGTACTCTGCGATGATCCGGGGGCGGGGCGGTGGGGGGCGAGGCTCATGGACGTGCACACACAGCTGACTCATGCTCTTGTGCAGCAGAAACTAACACAACATTGGAAAACGATTATACTCTACTTTAAAAAATACAGTAAGAGAAAAGAAAGGTGCGGATGCAGAGCACAGTGAGTGCAAAGTCTCTGAGGCAGGAGCCTATGTGGCGGGCTTCCCGAGAGCGCAGACCAGGGAACAGAGCAGGGGTCACGTGTGGATCGTATATAAATGCTTCAGATATAAATGCAAAACGTATATAATTTATAAATACATGTAAATAAGTTTCTGTGATACTTGCATATATGGGCTTCCCCAGGTGGCTCTGTGGTAAAGAATCTGCCTGCAATGCAGGAGGCTCAGGAGCCATGGGTTCCATCTCTGGGTCAGGAAGATCCCCTGGAGGAGGGCATGGCAACCCACTCCAGTCTTCTTGCCGGGAGAATCCCATGGACGGAGGAGCCTGGCAGGCAGTCCATACTGTCCACAGTGTCGCAAAGAGTCAGACACTAATGAAGTGACTTGGCTCTCACATATGCACACACATGCATGTATAAAGCTTACATGTATGTATTTGTGTGCAAAACTATGTTAACCTGTTTATGGTGGGTTTTTTTTAACGTGCATGTGAAATTTGCTTAGCTGTGTCTGACTCTTTGTGACCCCATGGACTATATACTCCATGGGATTTTCCAGGCCAGAATACTGGAGTGGGTAGCTGTTCATTTCTCTAGGGGATCTTTCCAAGCCAGGGATCAAACCCAGGTCTCCGGCATTGCAGGTGGATTCTTTCCCAACTGAGCCACAAGGGAAGCCCTTTTTTAACATGCAAGTATTTTTTATTTGTATGTAACCAAATCTACCAACTTCTCCTGCCTTGTTTCTGGCCATTTCAATATCCATCTAAATTTCCCACTAAATCTCCTGCTAAAGGCCTGGTGTCAGCTGAGTGAAAGGAAAGAGCTTGAGATGAGCTAGGTTTGCAGTCCAGGCTGGCCGCTTTTTCAGGAAGCGACTCTGGGCAGATGTTCCCAACTGTCCCAGGCTTCGGTTTCCTCATCTGGCGAATGCAGGTGGCCCCGCCCCTCTCAGTATTACGGCTTGTGAGCCTCTACCCAGAGAGTGCACCATGAGTGTCTAGCCCCTTAGCTCCTCCTCCGCAGGACCCCCTCAATTCAACCAGCATCCCTTCAGCCAGCATCTCCCCGCACAGTCAACAGGGTGAAACAGGGCCTTGGGGACACCAACCTTACCCCAGCGTGGACAGGAAATAGCGGGTATTCATCAAGTCTGTTCCACCTCTCATTCTCTGACACCATCCCACCCCCCATCCTAAAGCCTCTGCTCTTCTTTCTCTGAGAATTCCCGTCGTCTGCTTCCTTCCGCATCGCTGGAAGCCTCCCCCCGCCCCTGACATTCCGGGTCAGGGAGTCAGTGCCTCTGGACCCCTTTGCAGGGCTGCTGGGGAAGCAAACCTACAGAAAGATGATTAGGCGGAAACATTTACACCCAGATTGGGAGGAGGGGTACCTAGTCAAGAGCATTGAAAATTCCTTCAAACGCTCGACAGAAGTAAAACAAAACACCCAAAGCTGCCATAAGATGGTAGTTTATATCAGCAATCTGCCAAGAAGATGGCTTCTGAGATTTCAGAAAATATTTTCATCTACCTCAACACGGATGCCTTCTATTAGCTCGTCCCACTTACTGTAAAAATTATCCTAAAACTGAAACGAGCAAATTGAATGGAATTTTGTAGAAATGGGAGTAAAATCAATACTGAATCCCAAGATGGGAGATTTCTGAGAAAAAGAAAATCTTCCGAAATAAAAAGCATGGGGTACCATTCACTGCCAAGGGGCGGTCACAGACTCTGTCTTCCGCGCCCTCCACCCACCTCCCGCCCTCTGCATAGACTCTGTTATTCTTGTTCTCTATCACACACGCTTCGAGGAAATCTCAGGGTTATTCCTGCCCTGAACCGCACAACTGGCCCAGGATCCGCACCAGGCATATAACGGCACTGTTTCCTCCAAGTCATTTTGTTCTTTTCACCTCTAGTCAGCTTAGCCTGCATCCAGGCGATCGCACCGGTCACCCCCAAACTGCAGGTCATCTGTCCTGTCCCAGCCCTGCTTGCAGTGTCTCTTGGTCTGGGACGATGGCAGGTTCCTTGGGGGCGAGTCACCAACTTCCTTTCCCTGGTAGGTTTCCCTGGTGTGCTGTAACAAGCACCGCAGGCTGAGCAGCTGTCCATGGCAGACTCTCCCCCGCCATGCAGGAGTCT